AACAGCTAATTATCATACACGTTCTTCTGAAAGCAACAGTTTCAGGAGTTTAATTTATTTTAGAAGGTATAATTGTTTCACATTAGATGTTGGGTAATCGTCAGTGTGAGCACTGTTGTTAGTGCCAAAGATTTGGCAGATTCAATCATTGAAATGCAAATTTTATTTAGTTTGAAATCGTACTAAAATCAGACACCATATCTGATAAACATGCGAACCCAAAACCGTAAAACTTTCACCAAAAAACAAAACAAACAATTCTTGTGGAATCGTTAGTCCCAAATTTATATTTAAACAGGTTCCATAGCGGTCGTCAATCATTCGTAACTGGCATATTGCTCGCTATAGTCTGAAAGGGTTGAATTTCAAAAAGCGATTACTTCAATGTACTTTAACGGATATTCAGTTGACAATTTCCGGCTTCATTAAATGATAAACAGTAACCACATATTCATTGAAGATCTTCGAAGAATTCCGTACTAGCTCAGAAGATACCCAACATTTTCATCATTCACGCCATATGAATTTGCGGTTTCTCTTCAAATGCGGAATACATTTGCCTTCCATTAAATATTCGTGTTCGGCCTCCTTGATCGGTCCCAGAAAATAAAATTGACCGTTTTAAAGTTCGACCATGACAGTACATTACGTCTAGCTCAGCAAATGGACCTAACCTGAAAAATGTCTTGGCGCCAAACGGCAAATCATTTTATGCATCAATCATAACTCCCGTATTCTGGAATAGCTGCCAAGAACGACAGTTTGGTTACCCCTGAGCGGAATCGCCTCTAAGAACCTTAACTAGATTTTTGCGAAGAAACTCCTCATCGACTCCTTGCTGATCACTCCATAATTCCAGGCTCAATTAAGATGTATGCAAAGTTTACAGACTGTAACATTTCAATGTGCGTAATAACGCCCCACTCTTCGACGTACTGCACCCCCTGAAAAAGCATGGACCCAGACTCTCTTCAAATGTCGCCAAAGGAACGGAACGTGTGCGGGCTTAGACAATTATTGATTCCTTTCATTATAGCTGAAATGAGAATATCACAGGCAGTTATGAAATGTAACTATTACAGAAACTTTTCCGTCAACGCGTGCCTGAGTGAACGGTCCCAACTGCCTAGGGCAGAATGAGTGGTCTTACAAGCATCGCGTTTAAACGGAAATGATTTTTATAAGTCGGTATGAAATTCATAATTGGCTTAAATAGCACCGCCTGCCATTTCTATCATTTGCTCAACATTACTCTGCGGTTTCTTATAAATTCTAAGATAAATCACCTTCTTCAGACGATTCGAATTCTGGAACTCCAACGCCTTCTAAAAAAACATGTAGGTAACTGATTCCTTTATATTAAGCAGTATCTCATTTTCTGAACAAATTTTTCAATTTTAAAAATTTTCTAATTATGAAGTCTAGCATATACAATTTTCTTTTAATCTTTTTCAAGTTGCGGATGGATTATGATCCATCAGGAATCTTTTCATCGTTTATGGCCGAAATATCTGTCACATAGCAGGTTTAAAATGCTAAAATTATTAAAATATCTGAGTGCACGGAAGCCAAAACATTTATAGCTAACTCTATGTACTGAAAAGTATCGAGTCTCAACAGAAACAATATTTGCATCTCAATGTAAAATTTAGTGTTAACTGAAATTTCATCTTCATTTTGATTATTTATGCCTTATTAATCTGCAGTTTCCTATCAAACTATCAAACCTCAAAGCTGAACTCACCTGCATCAGACGATTCATATTCTGCATCGCCAGCGCTTTCTGAAAAATATGAAGAAAGTTCTGCATTACTTCTATAGCACAACACATTACATCACACTGCATAACACACAACATAACACTAAATATAATGTTAATCTAATATGTGAATTTCTCTGAAACTTAACACTTTATTAAGTAACTCTGTGAAAGACTTGGTACACTAGATTTACAAATTAGCATATAGCTGCGAGAAACATTATGTAGGATTAAACAGGAACACCGTCACTCAAAGATCAAAGACTCACCTGTCAAGAAGGAGAAAATGGATGAGAAAGGACGGGCTAGAAAACGCTTCCCTGCGAAAAAAACCTCCGGGCTTGTGCAGCGTCCGATGCAGGATTTTAATGCACCTCGATAGTCAGAGTGTATCGATATCATGAAAGAAAGTCATTGACCTACCCTGGGAGGTATTAATCATCCAATCCTTTGATAATTTCAGCAGTGACTGAAAATACGAACCGGGATAGAGCTGGACGACTTGTGTTTGTTGGGGGGGGGTGACTTTAAAAACAGTACAGACCGAAAGATTGACTCTCGATTCTGAATCCGTGATCAGCTGGAGACAACATCAACGACATCCAAAATTCACCTATGTATTAATCTTGAAAAAGACCCATGTGGTATGGG